TCGATAATTAATGAAAGCATGGCGTAGGCCTTGGTGACCCTCAAGTCCTTACGGAGGGCAATGGCAAATGTATCCTTCAATGTGGCAGGCTACGCGCGCTCGAGTTATAGGGGGTGACTCTCACGCATACCATCCGCACTGACATTCTATCGCGTGTACATGTCCATAGGATGAATTATAATACATGACGCTAGGTGTCTAGCCATATGCATGGAGAGCGCGTGCTTGCCACACCGATATCAAGGGCTCATTTCTTGGCTTTCTGGTGAGGCGGGAAAGAAAGTGGTTGCCCTTTTCCTGGGGCGCCTCGAGAAGCTTCGAGGCAATGGCGATGTCAGCTTCTCTAAACCATTGAATTAGCGACAATCGATAGTTACCCTCTCCTGAGTGGGAGGAGGTTTTCATGTTCACGGCCTCATTCCGTGAAGGTCGCGAGGAAGCAAACCTCGCCAATATTATTCAGCGAGCTCGCGTGCCATAAATTCATGTTTGGCGTGACGTTGTGCATCAGTGATCGCTGATGTCATTAGCGACGCGACGAATGCCTCTCCAGATATCGCCGCGAGGCGATTAAGGTCAACCCACTTAACACAAGTGAGATGAGAAAAGGTCGCGTGCTCCAACTATATATTTGGATCATTGATGTACGACGATTTGCTCATCCCAAACTCGGGCATAGGAAGGACTACTAGGTGTAACGGGGCTAGAACGTACCATCACTAGCTAGCACGTGCGCTTGAGGAAGACTCAAGCTCAGGTATTAGGTATTAAGTAAATTCAACTGATTTTGTTAGTTAAATTCGTACTAATTACGTATATTTTCACAAGTCGTAATAAATACGACCATTTCCTTGCCTTTTGGGAACCAATCAGTTTTTAGATTAAAGTTGGCCCATATTGGGTCTTTAGGCCCCAATAATAAATTGTCACGCTGCGTCCACTATTCGGGCACAGCACCTGACTAAAAATGTAATTACTAATTTCTGTTAATGTTATAAATGCAATGTGGCTCATTACATACATGTCCCGCCTTGGATCGCTTGTCGTTGAACTCATCGATGTAATCGACTTGTTCCTTCGGCAACGGCCATTGCCTGGTCACAAAATAATTGATGCCAGGCTCCAGGTCAATCTTGTGCCTGATGCCCCTATCGGCCGGTAGGCGTATCGGCACTCTGCTGGAAACACATCACGGTGTTTCCACAGAACATCATAAAGCGGGCTGTCCTTCATGGCTTCCCAGCATTGAGCAGCAAACCGTTTCTTCTTGTCGGTTTCCAAGACGCTCTCGCCCATTGTGGATGAAGAGCAACAGTCCGCCACGTTATCTTCTGGAACTGGTGCGACTATCTCGTGGATCTTTCCTTCCTTTATTTCGGACAGGAACAGACTCCACTTCATCTCCGAGAGATTTACTATCTCTTCGGCAGATGCCAAGACAAGTTGGAGCACCTCAACTGAGGATGCCGGCATTTTGTCTTCGACGGCCTCGAACAACTCGTTCGTAGGTCCGTCCTCTTGGACCGAGACTGATCCAAGGGCCACTCGTTTCGACGTGTGCTTAATCGTCTTGATACTTCTGGCGCTCGTTCTTCGAGTCACCACGACCTTTGACCTGGAAGAAGGTGTCGTTGCTGTACTAGCCAACGCACTCCTTCCAACCGCACCAGGCTCTTGGCTCTGTGCCGGTTCTTGTGGCGCATGACTTCCTGTCAGCCTACCATCAGCTGCCACAGGCTCTCGGCTCTGTGCAGGACTATTGGACGCATGACTGCTTGTAATCTTCCCATTCACTAAACCAGTCTTTTCGACCTGGGTAGGAATATGTGTCACCTGGCTTTCCGCCAGTGCACTTCCAACTACACCACTCCTTTCGAGCTGGGTAGTTCCTGGTGCCGATTGACATATCGTCATCGCACCATCGACTGTGTTGAGCACAGCATCAGCCACATAAGCCTCTCGCAAGAGCACATCCTTTCCGGTGTCTTACGTAGAGCTAGCGACTGTGAGTGTGCGCCAGTCTATCCATGGTTGGGGTTTAGCCAACCAAGGCATGCCTAGGATGAGGTCATACGGACTCTCCATACCTAGCACTGTGAACTTCTCTTTACAAGAGAGTTCATTGAAACTGAAGAAGAGTTCAACTTGAGCTCCCTCCGATTGAACGAGCGCGCCGTTCGCTAAACGAACGATCGCCTCTTCTCGCTTGCCATCCTGGCAAAGCGACTCATAACTCGCCGGTCTCCTTTTCAGAGCCGCGAGTTTCACAAAGTTTTGTGATGCACCCGAATCCACGAGAAGGGTCATCACTTGGTCATAGCCTCGTACTCGAGCGCTATAGACCAAAAGGGTTGAGGTCCGACCTTTCGGAACCTCAGGGACTATGCTACCCATTTGTTCGATCACTCTGAACTCAGGGGTAGCTTCAGAGTCCAAGACAGTAGGGGCATCCCGCCCCTACTGCGCTCCCGCATTTCCCGACCCATCTTGGGCAGGTGTTGAACCCGTGCGTCGTGCACGCTGGTTCTTCGTACCTCCCTTCGGGTTGGGAGACCTTTTGCTGGCTGCCTTAGCACCAGCAGCAAGTTTGGCATAGAAGCGAGCCATCATATGGCCTCGCTTGCCGCACTTGTAGTAGACCACGTCTGCATTGCCTAACTCCATAGAAGTGGCATCCCACCTCTCGGCCGACGACTTATAAAAATCTGTCGCCGAGGCACTGTTGTAAAATATCTTCCTAAACCATGAAATTTTGATTGCCTCCTCCATCGTCTTTGGCACCTTTCTGAAAAGGGCCTGACGCGATGAGCCTTGCTGTAGTCCATTCATGAACGTGGCCACCTTAATGTGTTTCGGTATCGGACCCACATTAATGGACGCCGACAGCGAACGCATCTCCTGCACAAAGTCTTGCAGAGGCGTTTCGCCTGTCGTTCTCCAAAGAAGCGCGCCTGAAGTAACAGGCGGCTGTTGCATGGCACGAATCTTTGGCCTAACGATCGCCCATGATGGAAACGCATCGGCATTTGCCATAAGCGCAGAGTAAGCCCAATCTGAAGCTTTGCCACGCAAATTGTACATGGCATACGATACCATTCTGGTGTCGTCTTCGATGAGCTGCGCCACTCCACATTGCTCAACTGCTAATAGCCAGTGAACAACCGTGTAAGGGGTAGTCCCATCAAACTTCGGAGGGTCCATCCGAATGGGCCTCGGTTGAGTAGACCGTGCAGAGAGCGTCTCAACAGTTCTGTTGAGCGCCTCATTCCGAGCTTGCTCAAGCCTAAGCTCATCCTGAGTCTTATTGATGGACTCAGCCGTAGCTTGGCTATTTACCTCGGACGCGTTTCTACGCTGCCCGAGCACAAACGCCTCGATTTGCTCCAGCTGAGCAGCATGTTGCTCAAGAGGACAATGCAAAAGGTTGACCAGGGCTTGTTCACCAAGTCCCTGCGCCATATGCTCTGCCAACTCCCTATGGTGTTGGGAGAGGTGAGGGAAGTCACTCCAGTCCATATTAAGGACCATCTCAACCACACGCACGCTCAGAGAGACGGGTCGTGGGAAGGACTACGAGTGCAACCAAGTGTAGACGGGCACTTCGTAATGAAGCTGCCACGTGCTACGCTGGCACACACCTTCATACACGCAAGGAAGCGATTAATCCGTCTAACTTCCGTGTATGATTGGTCGAACGCGAAGTAAACCGTGCAACGAACTTTTTACAAGTACTTGACTTACGACACGCAGTTTAGTAAGCTTCTCGTGCGCAGTGAAAGATAGTAAATAGATTTAAGGCTGACTTATATTTAATAGAAAATAATTAAATAGAAATTTAATTAATAATTGGTCTAATGTAATAATCGGATACGCGTCTCACTAGATGCGTATCCTTACGTGTGAGCTTCAAATATATATTAAAGCTCGCTGATTACGTCCGTCTGAAGCGTCACCATGATGCCTAGTTCCAACTAGGCGTCATCCCCGTTGAATGTAAATCCATCCATGCATATCATATTCGAGAGGGTGGGTCACATTGATGTGCGCCACCCAAGTGGAAGGTATAAAATACCTCGTACCCTTTTAGACCTGCCCGTTAAGTGTTCGATACTTAACGGACTCGTATAAATATTGACCCATTATAAGCTCGGCTGAAGAAGTGGCTACACACATTTAAATTGACATCGTTTAATTTTTCAAACACAGAAAAAAAGAAGACTCATCTACACTTGTGACAGTCTAATGCTGCGGATTCAATGTTCGCATTGCGTCCTCAGCACCAGACTGTGTAGAAAAAACGGAGCATCCACAGCTGGAGAAGTCGTCGAGAGCTCGAAGAAGTTGTGACGATAATCTCGTGCTGATGCTCACCAAAGAAAAGATGCTTAGAAGTCCACTTCATAGGACCATATTGGAAGTGCGACGTGATCTTTAAAAATACAAAGAAACACTGCAACGCTAAGATTCCCAGTACTGATGAATCGATTTTGCGATAAAGATCGAGTATAGTGAGTCTCTACCGCTTAAAGTGTCCCAAGAATCAAGAATGTTGCCGCAGAATTGGATAAGAGCGTGTGTTGGGTCGAACTTCGGAGGGTAATGATTTTTTTTTCGAGACTCTAACTTTTAACTCTTGGGCCACATTGACGACGTAGACAAACGACTGACTGCAAAAAGATTCTCAAATGGCAAGTTTGTGTATATTCACAGCTGAAAAGACAGTACAAATCGCATGTAAAGAAATGCCCAGGGCATTGAGAAAAGAAGGCAATTTGAAAACACGTAGGTTCCCATTGATCAAAATTACCTCATTCTTCTGTTCTGGTATCGGCGCTTGGTCACACCAACTTCAATCTCAACTTAGAATTGTCCAGCATTTTCGAAGTTTGGGAGCTTGATGACCGGAGCAGACGAGCTTGTATGAGGACGCACGGTTTGAGTACCTTGCTTCAAAGCTTTGTTATAATCTTCAACACGAGTTCCTTCTCCTTGAGTCCCTTCTACCTCTCAATCACATCGAGCAACATCCTGACGATCGACTTCGTATCTTCGTCGTTTTTCGCACTGGCCGTCTTTTCGGATTTCTTGAGCATTCTTTCCACATCGGGACCGTAGTGTCCGTACAGCCGATTAGCAAGCTCAACGTCGTCTTTGTGCTTTCTAGCACTGTTCAACTCTTTGACGTAAAACATCCAGGACTTGAATTCCGGAGTTTCAAATACCGCATCCCCTTTCTCCTTTAGTTTCAGAAGATCGAAAACGTCGTCCGAAGTTCGCTGTGCGATTCGCCACTCCCATTTTTTGGCAATTTCTTGCGTCTCCTCGACAGTTTTGGCGGTAGCGACCAACTTGGTCAGGTCTTGGCTACTAAGTTTACTCTCTAGCACTGAGTATATAACCATTGCGGTCTCTCTTTGATCTTTTACTTGTTTTTGCTCCTCCAAGAAGGTTACATAAGACACCCACGCGTTCCATTTTTTGGTTCCAAGCATCTCTTGGCCTTTATCTTGGAGCTTCAGATCATTAAAAACATCGCCAACCCTTTTCCTATCCATATGCCACCCCTCCGCCTGAGGATGCTCCCGCTTTAGACGCTGACGCTTCTCTTGCAAATGCAGCAGGATCCGCCAAATGCTCTCATTCGTGCCATCAGCTTTTGCCGCAGCAAGTATCGAGTTTATAGCTTTTCGTCACCCACTGTGCTTTCTCAGCGTCAAAAGTAACACTTGATATGGATCCGAGCTTCAGCTATTCAGCGTAATTGATCCACGAGCTCAGCATTGGACTTCTCAAAAGCTTATCTGGATGTACTTTGTTGAGTTCAAGGAGCTCAAAGCAGCTATTCACGTCTATGCCGCTCTTCTTCCAGATCTCCAGCTGATGATCCGCCAGTTTAGTTGCCATCTTTTCGGTATCCATTATCGGCACTCCGCCACAACAAGCAGTTTTACTAGCTCTTTGTCCCCGTAGTGCTTCGTAAAATGCGTGACAAACTCCTCGTAAGGATTTCTTTTTCATAATAGTCAAAACACTGAACCAATATTTCCGCATGTGTCCCGCCCATCAAAACTTCGCTCTTATCTTTGCCAACAGTTAGCAGTTCCATAATCTTGTCCTCCTCACCACCAGCTTTCAGTCCACTTTCCCAGCAGACCCATTTCCAAATGGTCCGGCAATTGCTTTCGTTGTTGGATCCCGTTCTTGCAGCCGCTAACATTTTGATCAAATCGTCCTTTCCAAATATAGATAGAAGCGTTGCAACTTTAGATTGTGCGACAACATCTAAATATTGTCCAGAAAATCTAGCGTTCACTTTGTTGTTCCAATCCGTAAATTCCTCACTCTTGAACATGTTTGCTCTCACATCATTTTCCTCATTTTTCCTTTTCGTAGAGTTCGAGATTGTCACCCATAACGCGCTTGAATTCTTGATTTATGTCGTCTTGGATACTTGAGCCAACCGTCTCCTTGACCAACTTACCATCCTTTGCTACTGGATGGACGTTTTTGCCGGAATTTCCAGGAATGACATCAGACTTTCCAGCTTCGCCGACCTTTGCTGTTGAATAGAGGTTCTTGCCGGATACTCCAAAAATGACATCAGACTTGCCAGCTTCGCCAACCTTTGCTGCTAAACCTTGGTCTATGGCTGCGATTACTCCAGAGGTGGCACCACCCTCGACCAAATCGATGGCCTCTGCTAAACCTTGGTTTTATGGTGAAGCCTAAGGTGCCACCTCTGTCTTCGTTCTCATCGTCCATGCTCTCCGTCGCATCCGAGTTTCTTCTCAAATACCGCTTCACTCGCGCATCGCTTTGGCCGACGACACCAAGTTGTTGCTTAAGAGAAGCAGAACCAGCAAAAATGGTCTTTGGCTCGACAGTACTTGGACTAGCACTGACGCATGTCAGCGCTGCTAGCACTATGTACCACTGCAGACGCTTTGGCAGGTTTGAGTTGGGGTTGGCGATCATGCTTGAAAATATCTTGATGGAGTTCTGAGGGTCTGGAAGCGGATAGCAAAGTGAGAACGAACAACCGCAGCAATATGACTGGCTTTTCTACAGTAACATCGACCGATCGGCACATAAAAACATATCGACAGCTCTTCCAGAACAGCTGAATGCATTGTAAACAAACAAAAGTGTAGTTGATAAAGTGGTCTAGCGACTGACAGGGCATAATCTCCGAGACATGTGTTGACAGCTTAAAGCTTCTTCTACACATGCTCTACATATGCTTCATATAAGTAAAGAGACTATAACAAACGTAATAAGCGCAGGTTTACTGATGATCCGTGTTTGACATTTTGACGGGGAGTTACGAAAGAGTCGGTGTGTAGACGACGTAGGATGAGGACGAGTACCTTGATTAGTATATAGCCCACACTTTGAACCGCATGTTCATTAGGCACAGGCCACACATAAATTAAATCTGCTGTGACACTTGACAAATTTGGCTCCCCTGCTTTGCGGTCTCCCATCATTGGAGCGGTCCTAACAATTCGACAATGAATGTGGAGATAGACGCGAGTGCAAGGCATTTATCTAACTTTAGCTTTGCTAAGTGAATGCAATAGCATTGATATATGAAGCAGCTCGGCTAGAGCCGTCACTACTTGCTGGTTGTTCATGTCAGAAGTCGTAGTTGAAGCGCATGTAACGCGTTCACAATATGTATCATTCATTACACTGCTGTAGGAAGAGAATATTTTATGCGTGTCACGTGGAAGCAGAGCAGGAGCTGCAGAAGATACAGGATGTTATACAACGCCATGATATAAGCTGCAAGTTGCTTTGGTGATCTTGTCTCGTCCACCTTGACGCCACTAATGCCGAAGCTGCCTTTCTTCATGAGCCCATGAAAGCGTCGCTCATAAGAATCACCGATGGGAAGAACGATTCGTTAGACCTGCGCCAATTCTGATTGAAAAGCCCAAAGAAGATGAGTCAACCTTTGAATCGTGTGCTGTCATTCTATTGTCCCTTAGCTGACCGGCTGAACAACCAAGTATCCAATCTACGACCTTAAGTTAGTGCTGTCAACTGGTCACGACATACACAATCTTCCAAAGTGTCTTGTGCAACTACTCACACATACAAATGCATATCAAGCCCATCCTATCACGCACATACAAATGCATATTAAACCCATCCTATCACGCACATGCACACATGCACGAGACGCATCACCTCTGATCAACACTCTGCACTTGTCGCTGCGGGTCTCTTACTCCTAAAGATGCAAACTTGGGATGAGCTTCGCGCATATGACACGCCCGAACACCTTTGTCAACCCGTCCGCAACGATTTCGTCTGTTGGCTTGTATATGAGCTCAATGACGCCATCATCAACCTTCTCGCGAAGAATATGACCCTTAATATCAAGATGTTTCGTGCACGAGTGAAAGACTGGATACTTAACCACCGCGACACATCCTTAGTTGTCTCTACAGATCGTCGCCGCATGTTCCAATGTATGGCCTATGTCAGCTAATAGCAGACGCAGCCAGACCGACTCTTCCATTGCAGCGTACAATGCCGTCTACTCGGCTGATGCACGAACAGGTCATCCTCATCAAGCTTGATTCGCTTCTTCTCGCTCTCGTTTGTCGGCGTGTACATGTCGTTGCACTTGTCGACACATAAGTTCTCCGCCAGCCGCTTAGTTTGCATCGCTAATTCATGTGAATAGTTTTCCGTCCTCGGCCACGTCACAATTCGATGCTGAGACAGTAGCTCGTCCAGCTCCTCATCTCAATCTTAACGCACGCTTAATCACATCGATGTGCTTTGTACGTCTACGCAAATGTCAGGGTCGTCGACGTGAATAATCATCACATTTAATTTTGTAGCCGAACGCCACACGTAGACGCAAAGATCTACTGCCGCCCGCGTAAAGCCTTATTGTGCTTTGCTCTATTCTTTCACTCGCGCGCCACCTGATTTGTGCCGTACAGCGCTTGCGTCACACGCACTTCTTGCCGCTCGTCCATCAATTTGTTCGACTCATCCCTGTATGTTTTCTCTTGACTTTGCGTGTATATGAACGCAGTCTCAATTGGCGATCACCTCAATCGCTACATCTTGTTCCGCTGCAAACGCAAGAGCAAGATTCAATGACTCTTTTCGAATTGACGGAGCTAACGTCGAAGAAGTCCACTCATAAACGCAGCATAAAGCCATTGGCAACGAGTCGCGCTTCGGCTTGCGCTCGACCCGAAAAAACACTTGCACCCGATTGCCTATCACATCTTCGAGCGTCTACGTTATGTGTTGCGCCAGCGACTGGAAATTGCTGATCACCACGCAAAGCCATTCGTCTTTGTGCTTGCTCTGCAGCACTTGATCATACGTTAATGCGCTCTCGGCATGAAGCATTAAAAGGTATCATACTCGTCTTTGTAGTCGTCGAAGCTGAGTTCGCTGTGCAGCAGTTTGGAAAGGTCTTGTTCGTGCATACGCTTATTTCTTGCGTACTGGTCGCATGTATAGCTCTTGGTCACCCTCGCGTCCCGCCGTACTCGATCGTTGCATCAAGACGGCTGCAGATGGTCGTTCTACTGGCACTATGCTGACGGATGTATCCATCCATTGACACGTTGCTTAGCACTTGCTCTTCCTCAGTATAAGCGAAGACATCGATCACACTGGGCTCGCTGTCTGCACGATTTCACCGGCGCATGGACGAAGCCAATCCATCAGTCGACGCAGGGGAATCAGCTGACCCTGGTTTAGTAGCTACTGACGTACGGCGGCAAGATGACGTGCTTAAGTTCTTCCGTAAACCTCACGCTACGTTTAGATTACAATTGCCTCTGTGCTTGCGTTCAGCAGGCGATATGTCTTGTGCTGCTTCGAGTAGTCAAGTAGCAGACAATGCACACCGGAGTCGCTGAGCTTGCTTGCGTCACCTAAGCGACGTGAGCGTAGCACACACTGCCAATACACGCATTATCCGATGCGTGGCTTGCGCTCGAACTCAATCTCGATTGGACTTGCGTCTGGACTTGACGCACTTGGCAGCATGTTATGGATGTACACGACAATTTATTATTGCGTCGCACCAATAGACCTTGCTCCCTTCTAGCCTCGCACAGCATGCATTCAGTCATTCCGACCATTCATTTGCTCTGGCATGGCGTGAATTCTGCTCTGAGTTGTGCGGTACTATGAAACTCGATACAGCACTCGAGCTGAATCTCGTGACAGTTAGCGAAAAGAGGTTCTGAATACGGTCCTCTACGTGGTTTGTGAACATATCGATCGTCCGTTGAGTGGTCTGGTCGACTAACATACTTACTAAACACAGCGTAGCTGACGACACACGGTCTCAAGGGTTAATCTCGAGCTAGCCTCGAGCTAGCATTAAACTTTGATGGAGAAGGAGGATAGAATCATCTCTTGACTGTAATACAATAACAACTACTCCATGCAACACAAGGTCAGAGGTGTTCTATTATACACATGCGTCCCAAGGAGAAAACTAGAGCCAAGCTAGAAAGGATAAGCCTGTTGGAGATATCTTTTAAACTTGCTGGTACTAATCGGTGCCTTGTGAAAGAAAAAATTCGTCTGTTCCAGTGCCTCACGCGCTGCATCCGTCATGTTATCCCACATAATTAGATCTTGATACGTTCCGGCCTTGCGTGTGGGTTTCAGATAATGCGGAGTTTGCAATAGCCAAGAGGTGTACTTGAGCTTGACGTGGTTTCCATCCATTTGTTTTTCTTTCGGCAGGCTGTAGGAAGAGTAGAAGAAACCAACAGAGGGCACCGTCACCGATAGCAGCTTAGCATCTTCAGAACGACTGCTTAGCCACACAAATATATGCTCCCAGGCATGGTGATGGCCCATATACAAAGTCGGTATCGGGAAGTCTCTAGGAAAGTACCACGTGAACATGATACCCAGGTATCCGTTAAGTTCGGCCGCGCGTCCATAGACTTGTGATCCTAGCGGTGATCCATGACAGCCAATAGCCACTTTAAAGATGGGAAGACCAGCGCTGGTTCTACCTTTCGCATCGACAGCAGGATATGGGAAGCATCCAGAACTAATGTAAAGCTGCGGTTGGAATTTCAATGCGAGGATATTTATCATACTTGTAGTGTTTTCATCTGTCACGAACGGAGCCACTTCATCGAAAGGAATCTGCTCTGAACAAGTCAAACCAAGCAAGCCTAAAGCAATGACGAGAAGAGTGAGCCAACTCATTTTCATTGAGGGGTTAATAAAAGAAGGCAAATTCTGAAATGAACATCCGAATGCGAGGATACATGGCAGTATTCGCCACCAATGTACAAGTGTAGCTATGGCTATGCACTTTACATAGGTAGAAGTGTACTTGCACTTCAAGCTCTTTGACTCAAACGATCTGGTTCGGACTAGGTTGAGGATAGGCAGCATCTGGTCTTGTTTGGTGCGAATCAAGAACATAGTGAGATTCTTTGTCGACTTCACGGCTGACACTGCCACTACTGATATGTGATGCAGATAATGGCTGACGCGATCTCATGGAGCATCAATAGGTTACAGATTTCTTTGTAAAATTTCGGCTGCGAACATGGTCGGGGTTTTCTGCTTTACATTTCGCATCATTCCACAAAGTTTACTGCTGAGACCGTGCGTGGCTTTCATCCATTCAACAATCTTTTGGAAGGTCTGTGGGTCAAACTCGAGACTTCATCTTGTGAACAGAGTGCAGCTATATGGACAACTTTGCTAATGAACAACAGCTTCATCTATATGAATTCCAATGCTACGATCTCGTGCAGCTTTCTTTTTTACACTCCAATACGTTCCATCTCTGGGATCCGAGAAACACTACGGCAAAAAAGCACCTGAGCTGCCACTTCGATATCCAGCCGAGCTCTCTTCTCACGCATTAACTGCCCATAGTTTGTAAAGGCTTCTTTGAACGGAGTCGAAACAGCACTCATGCATAAATACTTTTTTGCAAGTCGCGCTAGTGATGGGAACAATCGCTGATAGCGACTCCACCACTCGAGAGGATCGTGTTCAGTATTATCTGTAGCTGGCAATGAAGGCGAGTCCAGGTATTGCTGCACTTGGGCTTTAAGTTTGTCGATTTCGTTCGCAGGCTCGTCCAGCGGAAAAAACTCGTGTAGAAGAGCGGCTGCCTTCTTGTTTGCGGGAGCAGCACCCGCAACGAATCCACTTAATGCTTTAGCACTCCGACTCTGTTTCTTCAGCTCGTCTGCTTGATCTTCCTCCGTCACCATGACATGCTGGTGCTGGTCGTTGTCAATGATGTCATTCTTATCATGTACTCCGAGAAGAATATGTAATGATTCTACTAGTCGATCCTTCTCGGATGTCGATAAAAACGGCAACGTCTTGAAACGCGGATCTAGTAGACACGACAGGTACGGAGATGACGGAGCCTGGCCAGGAGAGCAAAGTTCCATATTAAGGTTGCTGACGATAGTATGGCGTACCACCGCCACAAGCGGATCAGTCACCCATGTACCAGCATCCGCCAAATGTTTCTTCAATGAATGCAAAAGCGGATATACAATCGATAGACCGGGGTATTCGAGTGGCGAAACGTGCACCAAGCCTTCGATGGGGTCAAGCAGTCGAGCCAATTGCTTGAGTGCTGCCCACTCCTCAGATGACAACTCGCAGCACATAAATCGAAGCTGCATCGGTCTCCGAGCTGGGTTTGTATCACTGTCTAGTCCCGTTTTGTAACGTAGCAGCATAGGTTCTAGTTGAACAATTCTACACATCATTTCGGTTGTCGAATTCCAGCGTTCGTCAAAGTCGCAGATTACTGGTAATACCTCACCGGTATTGCCACTTGAAGCAGACGTCTGTGGCATTGCGCTAGCATGTTGAGTGGAGGACGCTCCAGCACCCCTAGCTGCATCCGCAGGTGGACCTATCCTGACATCGTTCAACTCGTCCTCCATCGTGGTGTTGCCGCTCCCAGCGACGCTTACGCTGACCCCATCCGCTGTCGCAGCAATAGACGCTGCTTGAGTGGATGCAGCGGTAGCCGCAGATGCCTCCTCGCCCATACTGCGTTGAAGAGCAAGAAATATCTGGTATTCAGATGGGTTTTGAATAAAGTACGACACGTAGTTGCGGCATCTACGAGTGAGATCAGCGCACTTCTGTAACCCGCTCGAGACAGCTCCTTCGAGCTCCTCCACAAAGCACCTTACGACTGCCAAGCCCGGATATTCACTATGAATTGCACTTGCTTCAGCCTTTGCTTCTGCCTGAACTTCTGCAACTGTCCGTGGTGTATCCGTATCGTCTTTTTGGGTAGTATCCGTGGTAGGCTTGTGGAGACGCATAGTAAGCGCTGCCACTTTCGATGACGGAATATCCCACTTATCCATGACATCTCGAAGCAACGCGATGGTGTTGACACGTTCATCCAGAGGTAAAACGTAGACTTCCAGCACACAGTCACGGCGTCGAAATCCGCGAGAGATCCAATGACCACTAACAGTAAGTACATTTTGCCCATACGCCGATGTCCAATTGTTTAGTGATAAACTCAGCACTTCAACGTCTACCATAACTTCTTTCAAGATCTCTCGCTGTGAGTAGTACAAGTTCGCCAACGCTAATTTAATCGCGTCTTCAGATGGAAGTTTTGGAGCTGCTCCACCCATGCTTGCTCCTCCATACCCAAAGGTAAGTCCAGGCGTAGGCCACTCCGTCGCTCCTCCAAACAACAGCATCCCCAACTCTGCGCCCATGTGCGACATATCCAGCGGCTCATACTGTGCAATAAGATACTTGAGTAGTCGATGGGTCAAAATTTTCTGACTTACCACATTCGTTGCGCTCACGTTCCCATTGTTTCCCGTACAACCACTTGTTCCATTAATGGCAGCAGCACTCTGTCGACGCGTCCGTCCCATTGTAGATGTTCCTGAAAGTGTCGAATAGTCAAAGAACCGCTGATCCAGTCCAACGCCCACCATCGAGTCCATTCCTGCGTCATTCAATTCAAAATTCACTGGAAATTGCAACGCACTGGACGTGGCCGTTGTAGACGTTCCCGATAACGTCACAAATCCAGACGGATCAAAGTCCGTCCCAAATGGTGTTGCTTGATCCGTTACTAATTTTCTTCTTTTTGAGACGATATTTCCACTTGCTACACGTCGACGAGCAGTCCGAAGTTCCAAAACCTGTTGATGATGATGATGATGATGATGAGAATGACGTTGGTGTTTCTCTTCCTCTGGTGATAATGTCCCCAATACATTTCCAGTCTCCGATGCGAGCAAGAGACCAGGGGGGGAGGGGGGTTGTAATAGGATTAACAATCGATGACGTGATCGACTGTCGAGGGGGATGGGCACGACGGGATGATTCGTAATCCGACGGTCCTTTGCCGGGGGCGTATTTCTGGTGTTTTTTACGTAAATGACGGTTCATGGTACTCGTGCCACCGGAATACGCAAACCGTGTCGTTTGGGCGGGACATAATGTACAAATGACGTATTTTCCACTTGAATCTTTGACAAAATAGTCCCAAATAAAACTTGGAAGGACCATTGTCGAATCGACTTTGTCCCCCCCAAGACGAAGGCCACGTCCACGACCACGACGACGATTAAGAGATGAAGAGGATGAAGAAGAGATGGACAGAGGATCGTCCATTGATGGCAGTTCAACATTAGACACACTTGTTACATCGTGCTCGTCAACAGGCTTCGAGTGATGGTCATGGACGACAGCTACTTGCGGTTCGAGCAGGAGCTCGTCCGGCTCCATGTTGACCGCTTTTTACTTTGAAATTGTATGGCGATACGGTTCAGCTCCGCCAGTGATTTCTGTGGAAAAGCTGCCAACATGTGATTGGTTAGAATCGAATATGGCTCTCACTTTTGATTCCGTGTTGTCCACACTAATTCTTGGGAGCAAATAATTCAGTACTTGATCCTGTGGGAAGACGTAGGGAAGATGCAGTGTAATAGGCAGAAATAATGGCCGATTGTGTTTGGTTTTTCATTTAAGCTATCGGCTACGTATCCATTTTGTAAAGAACTAGCATATTTTAAAGGTTCAATAGACTCGTCTGCCTTCATTCTCGTAGATATATTCCAATTATTCATCGAAATCCGGTATGATCTTGGATTCAGATGAGACGGTCGATAGAATCAGGTAGACGCATTTACGACTTGGCTGTTTGTCTGCCTTCTGCATAAGTCCGGTGATCGAGATGAGCTCTAAATGACAAAAGTTGTAGATCATATTCCAGCACGATCCCCGTGCACGACCCCTATATATCAATAGATGCATGGGTCATTACTCTAAATAGACGGGTGATTTCTGACTTAGATTTGTCATCATGCTCGAGTGACACAGGACCAGATGATGCCGATTCTGTTTCTAGTCCGAGCAGTTTTTTTTGAGCCAGACAGCCCAATGGCAAGCATCTGTAGCATGCATAGCCACAACTACCCAGGGAGATCTAGCCCACTCATTCTTTTGATAAGCATTCAGATGTTCATTATTGAATTCACCTTCTTCTATCAACCTCTTGAGAGAAAATGAGTTGGCTGACTCTTCTTGTGATTGTTCTTAGTTGTCTTGCTTTGGCTTCTTCCAAGAAGCTTCCTTTTGATAAAGTAGTTCCGTTCGCTGAAGATACAAATACAACAGATATCAAGATATATCTTGCTTTGAAATTCAAGCCGCAGCTTGACATCAGTTCTGGATGTCACCCATATCCCGCAGTCGATGCAGACGGTAATACGAATGCTGGCCTTGGAAGTTTTCATGTGTTCAAGAGATGTAATAAACCATCGAAAGGATCCCAAGTCTATGGACGCGTGCTCGAAGTGGATGGAAAATGGGGTTTCATGTTCGCCTGGTACTTTCCAAGAGACAGCATGGCGTCAAGGTACAATTTTAGCCACCGCCATGCGTGGGCAAATGTGGTATTGTGGCTCAGCAGTCTCTCTCACGATGCTAAGCTGCTGTCGGTAACGATAAAGTCTTTTTCTGATTACTTAAAACACAGTCCAGAAGCTGACGAAATGGATGGAAACCACGTCAAGCTCAAGTATACGACAAGTTGGCTACACTCAGGACATCATTTGGAACTTACGCACAAGGATGGACAGTATCAAGCTTTAATCATGTGGGACGACATGACGGATGCAGCGCGCAAGGCACTGGACACTACGGACTTTTACGATTCCAAGACACCGTTTAATGACGTAAATTTTGAAAATAATATCGACGAGGCCTATCCTTTCGATAAGAACGATGAGGCCTAGTTGTTTACGTGGTAAGGAATGTGTAAATACAACAACTTACTTTCTATCATGCATTCCATTGAAACTTTGTTCTTGTGTTACGATTCTTTCATGATCTTATCATTCTTCAGTGGGATCATTATCTGTACTGCGTGCTTCACCAACAAGTTATTTGTCTCACAATAGAGCCATTCTAGAATGGATAAGCCTGTTGAATATACCGTTCAAACTTTTTGCGACTTATTGGTGCCTTGGACCCAAAAAATGTCGTATGTTCCAGTGCCTCGCGCGCTGCATGTGTCATGTTGTTCCACATGATTAAATCTTGATACTTTCCAGTCTTGTCTGTAAGTGTCAGATAATGTGGAGTTTGATATAGCCATCGGTAATTGAGCTTCACGTGATTTCCATCCATGAAATCAGCTGTCGGAGGGGTGTACGTCGAATAGCCAACAAGAGACCTCACTGTGACCGAGAGCAGCTTCGAATCTTTGTTGAGATTACCAATCCACACAATAACATGCATCCAATTTGGGTCAATCCACACTGGCGATATCATAAAGGCTTTTGGAACGTACCATGCGTACATGATACCTATGAAACCATTATGCTCAATTATGCGTGCATAGACTTGTGATCCTAATGGTGATCCATCACAGATAGAAAAGATTCCAGTCACTCCAAGGCCTTCGTTCGTATTACCGTCTGCATCGACTGCGGGATATGGGTAACATCCAAAACTGACGTCAAGCTGCGGCTTGAATTTCAAAGCAAGATAATTCTTGATATCTGTTGTTGTTGCATCTTCAGCGAACGGAACCACTTTATCAAGAGAAAGCTTCTTGGAAGAAGCCGAAGCAAGACAACTAAGAACAATCACAAGAAGAGTCAGCCAATTCATTTCTCTCAAGAGGTTGATAGAAGAAGATGATTTCGATAATGAACATGTGAATGTCTATTAAAGATTAAGTGGACTAGATGTACTGACTACGGTATAAACGGTGCCACGAGCTCACATATCAGTCTAGACATAGCGTAGCTGTAGAAAAAACTGGACGCTATATAGGTGAGAAGTGTGCTTGCAAGTCGGCTGTCTAGCTTAGAAGATCTGCTTGGACTAGAAAAAAGGATAGGCCTCATCTGGTCCTGCCGTTGGTATTAGTACTATTAATATTACTACTGATAATATGTGTCCTAGAATTATTATTAATATTATGGCAAAAGTATTCGCTAGATGTATTATTTTAATGATAACCAACGTAGTACTGTCAATCTTCATTATGAATGAATAAGTACTACTTTGTATTATCAAATTTCTAAATTAGTTTGTAGTTGTAAATCAAGTTGGATGGATCAAAACAGTAAAATTTAGATCATAGCTCTTCCCAGCACCATGACTGTACGTCGCTCTCCATGCGTTCTCACCAATATTCTTATAAATTTATCGCTAATTTGCTTTCTTTTGGGGTACTTAACAGGCCAATTCAGACCTCAAGCGCGTCATTTACTTAGAAGACGACGCCATATATGACAAGTCGCAATTTCTCGTGCCACATCACTATCTGGACAGTATCGAGTCGGTGCTTATTCCAAAGGGTCTCATTGAGGACCGTGTAGAGAAACTGGCCCAGGACATTCGTTATGTTTATGAAGGCAAGACGGTGCATTTGCTTTGCGTGCTCAAGGGTGGCAGTGCTTTCTTTAATGCACTTGTGGACAAGCTGCGACTATTCCACAAGTACAACAAGTGCGACTACGTGCCTTTTACTTTTGATTTTATCAAGGTCAAGAGCTATGCAGGCACCAAGAGCACAGGTAACGTGGAGATTTCAGGTGCTGATTTGTCCAAGTTTAAGGAAAAGAACTTGCTGCTAGTGGAGGACATTATCGATACAGGCAAAACAATGGCGAAACTTATACCGCTGCTTAACGAGTATGAACCCGAGTCGGTACGTGTGGCCAGTTTGCTAGAAAAGCGCAACCCCGAAAGCTGCGGTTTCCAGGCTGACTTTGTAGGCTTTAACATCCCCGACAAGTTTGTAATCGGTTACTGTCTCGATTACAATGAAATCTTTCGTGATCTGGACCATATCTGCGTCATTAATGATGCAGGCATTGTCAAGTATGCGTCTAGCTCATAGAGATGGCGGATTGCGTATGTCGATCAATGGCCAAAATGAAAAGGTTCTAGACTCATTTGTTTCAACGAAAAAAAACATCACATTCTATAGAGCAATGTAAATGTGTCTTTGTTTCTATTGATTCCATTACACGTCTACGTGCCTGTACTTCTTCTACTTGTTTTGCAACTGCTCAGGTGTCATGGTCCGGATTGTTAATCCATGCATATTCTTAATTTCTTCCTTAAGGATCTATTTAGTCACAAGAAAAAGAGAACAACTATCAGCAACTTCAGCGTTGACCATCATTCTTTTTTATGTATATGTACCTCATTAACCATACGATGCTGCTTGACCCGCGATTGGCCTGCAAACTGCTTAGACGCCACCTCCACATCAAACATGGAACCGCAACCGCCCGATACGTCCGTCACTTTTACATAAATGGCTTCCAAATGTTTTTGAAGCATTGAATGCATGGCTTGCTCCGCCTTTGACCCACCACCATTTGCATTGGACGAGAACCACGTGTGACTTAATGGCCGGTGGACCGTCGCCAGGATCCGTCTGCTGCTTAGCATACTTAAATTGCGAATGATAAATCCCCTACCATTACGATTGGTTGAAAACACACTCTACTAGTTTCAACCAATCCAATGCATCATTATATTAACCAATCCAATACATTTACAAGAAAAGCAACGTCACTTGATACAAGCAACACGTAGCTCGCCCTTTATGTTTTTCTGTAGTGGACCTCCGCGCACCTACGCCGTGTCTGATGCATGTGAGCGAATGGAAGACGTGGCCATGGCCATGCATCCATCACAATGCGTGTTTGCGCGTGTAACGTCGACTCGTGTGGCGCTATGGAGCGCGTCACTGGGTCTGCCAGCCACGGGGCGTCGTCTTCTCGCGTATTGTCGCCGTAGTGGCCAGTGGATTGAGCGGTTAGGGGACAATGAGGGAACAGACGGGCTATTGAAGGAGCGAGGAACGTTGCGTCACTTGTGGGCCGTATGGGTTTCGGGTAATCGTCTTGCCGTGGTCGAGAAAGATTCGCAATCCGTCGAGTTTTATGCATTTGATGGGCTAAACAAGTTGCTTTTGCGTGCTGAGACATGTCATCACGACTTGACGGACGATGATCTGATTTCACTTGAAGATGCAACTGTTGAAGTTGCCACTAAATTGGACCACTTGTCATCCACTAAATCAGAGCAAAAGGAAACCGACGACGGAAAAGACGGAACAAAGGCAACTTCAACGAAACTTCAACTTGTAGCCAAGTATGTTGAAGATTATCCACTTAATCAGGGCGAGTCTCAAAGTGATTACGATGATGTCGCGGCCTCAATGAGTGCGGTACCCGGCAGTAATTTCCTGTTTGTTGGCATGGCAAGTGGTATGATTTGTGTCGTGGAAGTTGTTGACGTAATCAATACAGACGATGGCCAAACGTCCTGGTACAAAAGCACTGCAAATGGTTCCACCAAGATTTGGAAAATTGATGTTCGAACGCACTTGGCAATGCCAAACGACACGGAGTTACCAAGTTGCTATGAACTCACTTGTGCTTCGGCTGAGTTGCCGTTGCAGATTACGTCATTGTACCTTGTAGCCAGTTTCAAAGGCGGAAAATGTTTTATAATGTCGCTATCTCCTTTTCAGAAACGGATTAATCATTTACTATCGTTGATTAATACGGAGAGGGACATAACCGCGTCGACTGGCGGTAGTAATGACAATGGTCATTGTACTTCAACCTCATTGGACAAAAGTGGGTCGCAACTGGCTCTTGGCTGGTCGGACGGTGGCGTTTCACTGTTTCGATTATCGTTACAAACAATGGAACAAAGTAACAAGACGACTAAGACCCAAACTGAAGTAGCTGGTGAAGAAAAAGTACACATGACACTGGCTCTGGAACCGATACGAGAGTTAAGTCTCGTCTCACGGGGCTACACACCAACAGATATTGGCTCTGTAACGGCGTTAGCGTGGTCTTATGACGGTCAAAGTGTTGCTGTAGGTTACGAACAACGCGGTTTCTCTCTTTTCTCTATTGATGGATGTCGCTTAATGTCGAGTTTGCCTCAGCATAAGCAGGAACGACCAGGAAAGATTGATGAACACAATATGAAAGAAGTGTGTGCTTTTGGTGTGCTTGCATTGCTGTGGACACAAGAAAGTAATGCATTGATTGTGGTGCCCCGAGGAGAACAGAGGACACAGCTGATACAGCTACCGGAAGATGAGATTTTGAGAAAAGTGGAGGAAGAAACCAATGGAGATGTGAAAAAAGCTACACATTTGTTTGAAATGGTGCAAGCAAACATTATGAAAGAAGAAGACGGACTGTGTTTGTCTCTATCGGGTGCACCTCGTCGCTGCGGTGCCTGGGTTCGAAGCGACAAAAGTTTTATAAAGCGAGTGCGTGATGGTGGCATGGGTCCAGCGGAGACATGCGGTCAGATTCAGGGTGGTGACTTGCTTGTGGGCGTCAACGATAACTTAAAGGTTGTTAACTTGTCGTTTGAGCAGATTGTCCGTGAAATTAAGGGACTACCAGACAACGAGGAAGTGACGCTCACATTTATGCGTTTAAAATGGGATGAAGTGTTCCCGCTGGCTGTCGAAGCACTAGCTTCACCTGAATTTATGGATGCACATGGTATCCACTTGCTCGACGATGAAAACTTGTGCATTCGCGAGTATGCGCTACGTATGCAAGCGATGTATGGAGACTGCGATTTAGACGAGCGTCCGCCTCTAATGGAGCTGGAGTGCCGTGCAAAGTTTGATGGATGGGAAGCAATTCAGGGCACTACACCGAAGGTCGCAAAGCATAAGTATGTGAAGCTGTTGTTTGCTCTGTTTCCAGTGTGGAATCCAAACCATTTCTTGAATGTGCTAACCGAGTACTGGAATGCTCTTCTCGCACAGAAGCTTTACAGTGCTAAACAAATGAGACTGAAAGAGTTACAGTCTCACCGAGAACTCGTTAAGATGCGTCAGCAGACGTTGATTTCATTTGCTCAGTTTGATTTCGCAAAAACTGTACCACTTTCCGGGGGGAAATCGTCTCGACTTGCGTTGATAGAGTGTAAAAGCGTTCGTTTGGTGGCCGCACCTTCGCTTGATGACCCTTGTGCTTTGACGTCCTGTGTTAATTGGAGTGTACCTACTGAGTTTGAGAAATGCTGTCCTCTTCGCCTCGTGGCTGTTAGCCCTAGCGGTAACCACTTGGCGGTGGCGGGACAAAGAGGCTTTTGCTTGCTCAATATTGTGACTGGAAAATGGAGGATGTTTGGCAACGTGAACGATGAGCAGGACATGTTTGTTTACTCGTTTTTGTGGGTGGGGAATGATGCGATTGTGGTAAACTTTACGCGATTAAGCGAAAAGCACCAGTCGTTGCACCTGCAGGCGTACCCTAGGAATCACTTAGATGAAGAATCCATTCTAGAGAAGTTAGTGTTCGCACGTCAAAGTAAAAATGCTTCACTAAGTCGAGGATCAGCCGCATTAGGAGAACGGTCGCTTGGAGGTGATGCCGATGACGGTTTCTTAATCATGGAATGCGATAATGCTCAGGATAACCTCTTTTGTGTATCCAGAAGCGAGCTGTGGTGCTTCAGTCTAAAACAAAAAGGTGTCATGAAACAAAACAACCTTCGGATGAAAATTCAACTTAAACGACGGGTAAAACTGCCGTCACGGATGGTGGAGTCGCAGCCTGTTGGAACCTGCAGAAGAAATCCTATCTTGGATTTTGCTGTGCTACCACGTTTCCTGCACATTCAAGACGAAAAACTACGAAAAAAGCAGCTGCAAGAGTATCAGATGGAACGTGAACACGAAAATGATGATGAAGGCTGGCTTTCGAATATTGTGAATATGCTGGTTGGTGGCGAAGTACCTGACCAGTACACACCAGAAGAAGTACTCCCTCGGTTCGCGTTCGTCGATAGTGTCGGCGATGTGATCATATGGGACCCAGAAAATCGTTCACAGCGATTATTGTGCTCGAATGTGAGCACGATGGCAAGACTATTTGTATCTCCGCAGGCCTGTGCTGAGTGGCCAGCACCATGTCGACTTATTTACGGGTTGTATGGTCCGGAAGGCATGAAGGTGTGGCTTCCGCTACTGGATGGCGTTTATATGACCCATACAAAAGCTTTCGAAGAAGATAATCACCGACTGGAGACGTTCTTGGCTTGCCACGACCCACTGCGTGCGAAAACGTACGAGATTGAGTTTGGTACCGCTCCAGCCACGGCTGAGCTCTACGAGCAAGTCATCAGCGAGTACGGACTAGCCTTGGATGGTTTCTTGTCCAGTGGTAGTGGTGTTGGGGTAGGGACCGGAAGGATGCCTTTGAACGACGGGTATTCAAACATGCGTGGATGTGTGACGTCGGTGGATGATCCGTTCGCGAAAGATGGCATGCTTCGCTTCGATTTTGACGTGAAGGTGCTGGGCATTGAGCAAGCGTTCGGACTGCTTGTTGGTGTCTCACAGGACGTATATGTGCCGTCTGGTGTGCTGATCCCTTGCTATGATGTGTTCGCGCGCGTGCAGCCCATATTCCACACACTGCTGTGTTTCCTCGTGCAGAATGAGCAGCTTTCGTGGGCGCGTCTCGTTCTAGACGGCATCCGAAAGCAATTTGCGCTGTCGACCTCGACACAAGAACTATTTCTTCATTCCATGCTCGAAGCTTGCTTTGCAAAGCGATGTTCACTAGAAAAACTGCACACAGCCGTCCAGCTTCTGCGTCCTAGCGACGAAGAGCAATGTGACATCGCAGAGTACTGTGAGATTGTTGCTCACGTGGCACGTAAGAGCGAGCCGTCCCGACTGAAGGTCTTGTTCCCTACGGCGGGCGACCCAATAGATCTACTAAGAACTTGTCGACAACGGTCAGAGCTCCAGACGGCTGCCAACTTTCTGCTCATCTTAGACGAGTGCTCAATTGCGTCAGGTTCTTCTTTGCCGCAGCGGATGGAAAGCGCAGCCGAACTGTTAACGGAGTGCGTCGATCAGGAAGAGCGGGTACTTGCACAGCAGGTGGTGCGGGTCGCGCGTGACTGGGAGCAACCGCCATTCGACGAGCCATCGTGCCGAGCCTCGTCTCAAATTGCCAAGCACACTAGCATCGATGAGCGGCTCGCATCTCTGGCTTGGGACAACCTTGTTCGTGGTGAATACGAGCGTGTGGTCTGGTGCATTGAAGACCTCCAGGCGAAGCTCCCTTACAAGTCTTTAGAAGAGCGCCAATCAGACGAGGACCGTTCCGCTATCTTAGACCGGCTTTACCAGGTCTTCATTCAGAGCAACAAGCGAAGACAGCTCAGGTAAAAAGGACATGTTGTTTGTTGTTCGAGGTGGTTTTATTGCGGCTAGTTGCAACTAACTCGCTTGATTTTTTACCCTTGTTCGTGTATTAGGAGCTTACTACACGCAGTGACGGAGGCTCACTATGATGAGTGGATTTTGCACATCAAGCACGTAATGGAGCAATGAGATGGTTGAGGTGCCGATTGACAATGCTCTATTTTACAGGTGTTACATATTGCCTCATAGGACGCGGGGGGAACCATGAAATAGCAGCACATTTGTTTTTTGGATACAATAGGTCAAGTCGGAAGAGCTCTTATGTACACTTAAAATCTACAAGACATCCGGCCACCACCAAAGGGGTGTCACTTTTGCCGGTTCAAAGTGTGTGGTACCACGCTTCGATCCTACGTCGGTGTGTCCGGTGCAATTGAGCCGTTGATATGCGGAAGTTGGTCGGAACGTTGGTTCTTGGCAGCATGTAAGCAGCTATTCGTGGAGAAATTCATTTTCTTTGGTTATCGCTAGTATATGCACGGCATACATGTAAGCAACACCAAGGGTAGATAGTGAACGAATACAGCGGTTCCAGTCCGAATTGTCAAAGCTAACCAGTGGCAGACGTGCGAAGGCGGGACCGGCCTCTGTGAACTCAGCATCACTGCGTAAAGTTATGGCCTTGGCGGCATGGAGAGTCCATCGAGCCTGGTTACCAACGCCAGTACCTCGTCCAATTGAACGGAGCGTGTCATCTGCGGTGACGGCTCTCGGAGTTGTCTGGCTATCGCACGTTGGCATAGCATCAGACACGTTCCTTGTATCTTTGTATCGGTTCGCCAGTACTCTCGCTTCGCTACGGCTCGAAGTTGTCTCCTGCTGGTTTCCCAAATATTTAGTGAATGCTGCCGGCGACGGTCACGTCTACTTGCTTGTTTGTCACTTGGTTGCGTTGTATCCACAAGCTGGTGATGCAACCGCTACTCAAAATGTGCCATACGCGTTTCTACACGGCAGCGTATGTGGTCACCTCGTCTGAATGGTGTTTGTGACCTATTCCTGGATAGTCCTGGCACGCGTCTTTTTGCACGCACGGGCATGTCCAGCAAATGTGTTCTAGAGTTTCTTTCACTCTTAGGTAGCGGTAAAGCTTGCGGCAACGGTTACCTTGCCTTCGGTCTGGATGAAAAAGATGTAGTTGCTACACTGCCATTCTATCAACGACCCAAACTTTGTACATGGTGAGCTCGTTTCTATGAGCCCAGAGATTGATTGGCGTCTGCTGTCTACCACGCACTTCCCCACGCTGAGTTCTGTAGCATCTCTAGCGTTTCGTGTCAGCGTACCTTTTAAACCTTTGTATCGACGAAACCAAACTGATGAGCCACTGGCTTTGCAGAAGCTCGTAAGGGATTACCGTGAGGATAGACGCTATCATATTACTTTCCCTCCGCATCTTTGGTAGTCAATCGCTAGACCACTCTATCAACTGCACTTTCGTTTGTTTACAATGCATTCAGCTGTGCTGGAAGAACTGTCGATAGGTGTTTATGTGCTGACCCAGTCGATGTTACTGTAGAAAAGCTAGTCAAATTGCTGCAGCTGTTGGTTCTCACATCGCTATTCGCTTCCGAACCCTCAGACCTTCATCGAAGATATTTTCAAGTATGATCGTCAATCCCAACCCAAACCTGCCAAAGCGTCTGCAGTGGTACATAGTACTAGCAGCGCTGACATGTGTCAGTGCTAGTCCAAACACCGTGGAGCCGAAGACCATTTTCGCTAGTTCTGCTGCTTCAAAGCCACCACTTGGTGTCGTCGACCAAAGCGATGCGCGAGTGAAGCGGTATTTGAGAAGAAACACGGATACGACGGAGAGCATGGACGACGAGAGCGAAGACAGAGGTAGCGACGTATTCTCGACCATAGACCAAGGTTTAGCAGCAAGGATCACCGAATCGGTCGAGGCTGGTGTCACCCCTAAAGTATCCACCGCCATAGAGCAAGGTTTAGCTGCAAAGGTTGGTGAATCGGTCGTCACCCCTAGCGTATCCGGCACAAACCACAATCCAGCAGCAAAGGTTGAAGAATCGATCGAGACTAGTGTCACACATGAAGTACCCACCGCCGTAAATCACGATCAAGCAGCAAAGGTCGGAGAATCGGTCGAGGCTAGTGCCATTCCTAGCGTACCAGGGAACATTTACAACGTTTTTTATCTAGAGTTTAGGAAAGCTATGGGTGACCAGATCGAATTTTACAGGAACCGAGGAGACCTGTTCAAGAATGACCAATATACGAAGTGGTCGAAAACTGTGGACGAAGTATACAAAAAAATATCTGAAACACGAGCCGAAGTAGCATACACTGATGTAGCCATGTGGGCTGAAGTAGCTAAGGTGTCAACGCTTCTAAGTATATACGAGAAGGACGTTGTGATCAGCATGCTAGCGGCTGGAAGAAAAGACCCAGTTACGCAAGAGAAGGCCAATAATTTGGGACTCGGTTTGCTGAGAAAATGGGTCTCAGATCGTAAGGATGACAACATTATGGACCTGCTAACATTTGACAAGGGTAAGAGCGAAGTTTTGATGAGTCCGTTCTTGAAGGTATGGTTCAATTATTTGAGAAAGATGAATATAAACCCATATGAGCCGTTTGTCACGCATTTTACGAAGCGCTACAGTGAAAAAGAGCTAGTAGAACTGCTTGTTGTAGCGGAACGCGACGATCGGACCAGACAAATAGCAACTAAATTGGCGAAGAAGATCTGGAAAAACACCAGCATTAGTTTGATTCGCAGCTTTAAGCTCTTTGGACTCAACAATGAACATCTAGATACGCTTTTGAGAAATCCAACGCTGAGCACGTGGATCAATTACGTTGAAATGCTGGGACCAAATCCATATGAAGTGTTACTTTTGGCGATGAGGGAGCGCGCGGGTGACGAAAAACTAGATTCTATTCTTGCTGCGGCAAAAGTTGACGGCACTTATATGACAATTTGGCAGACCCTGCTACATATGCAAGAGAACTATAAATCACTGAAGCGTCTAAAGCGAGAGTATCCACAGGTGGAGGAGTGGCAGAGGGATGGAAAAAGTGGTGATGATGTTTTCGATCTTCTAGAGTTCCCAGATAAAGGCCAAGATATGTTTGCAACCGAGGCATGGAGCTTGTGGGTTGCGTATATGACCTACTTGGAGGCGCAAAAACAATTAGAAGATCAAAGAGAGATCGCAACGGTTATATTCTCAGTGCTTAGGAATCGATTTAGTAGCGAAGATCTGCCCAAGTTGGTCGCTACAGCCAAAAATGTCGATAGGACCAAGGAGCTTGCCGCCATATGGGAGCAAAGATTGTGGCGGATCGCAAAGCAAACTCCGGACGACGTTTTTGATCTTCTGAAGCTGAAGGAGAAGGGGGATGCGGTATTTGAGAGTCCGGAATTTGAAAATTGGGCATTATATGTCAAAGAATTGAACAATGGCAGAAGCCGCGACGACGATTTTGAGCTTGCTTGTCAGCTGTACAGACATTACGGTCCCGATGTGGAAAGACTGCTCGAGCAATCCGAAAAGATGGCCATTGAGAAAAAGGACAAAGTTACAAAGGCATTTGTCAATAAGATGCAGAACGAGTTTGAAATGATAAAGTCACTCGAGGAGATGTCACCTGCGGAGATGGAGCTTGAGGAGACGTCATCTGTGGAGATGGAGCTCGAGGAAACGTCGCCCGTGGATATGGACATTGAGGAGTCGTCACCGGTTGAGATGAAGGTCGAGGAGACGTCACACGAGAAGAAGCAGCTCGGTAAGAGGCCGCGTACGAGCTCGCCGGCTGTGGCCACCGAATCCTCAAAACGAACCAAAATGCTGGATGAATCCGAGTCACCGACGGAAAATTAGAGTTGGTGTGACCAAGCGTTGATACCACAACAGAAGAATGAGGTAATTCTGATCAATGTGAATCTACGTCATTTCAATTGCCTTCTTGTCTCAATGCCCAGAACATTTCTTTACATGCGATTTGAAGTGTCTTTTCAGCTGCGAAATATACACAAACTTGCCATTTTGAGTGTCTTCTTCCAGCAATATGACTATCAACGTCACAAAGAGGCCCAAAAGTTACATTCCGGAATGCTACATTCCCTTCCGGCATTTAAATGGTGTTTTGCCACACGATACGCTCCCATTCTGCGGCAACATTCTCGGTCCTCGCAACAATTTGAGCGTTAGCGACTAACCTTTACCCGATCTTCATCGCGAAATCGATTCATCAGTACTTGGAATCTTAGCGTTGCAGATTTCTTTGTATTTCTGGAGATCACGTCGCACTTCCAATATGTGCGTCACAGTTTGCAAACACCAAGTCCAGTAATGGACTCTTTGACTTTTGTTAAGCATCCGTTATCGTAATCGATCGCTTTCGTCACTCGAGTGATCATGTCTGGAAGGATGTCCACCAACAAAGCTCAGGTTACTGAAAATAAGGCAATGATAGGGTCACATACATGATGGAAGCCCCCTATGAACACAACCTGACACCACAATTGTCATTACTTAACTGATTGCTTCCTGGACACGATAGCACCGGAATGCTTGACAATTTAGGTGGGGCGCAACCTTGTCAAGACAAAGGATGTAACCATCAATTACGACGGACTGTTGGATATAAGCTGACCGCGTTGTGATGCAAAGGTACAATGGCGGTATCAACTGTAGGGATGTCGGTAGATTGGTTCAGGATCTCCGGTAGCGGCGTTACCGGAGGAAAATTGACCGTGGCTTGAGCGAAGAACCTTAAGGAGTGTGCTGATCAAGTTGACGGATAAATCTGCGTTATTGATGATACACCGATCGCGTGCAATGAGCAAGAAGCAGGTATATATCTGGTAGAGATAGAAGGTAGAGATCCAGATACACATAAGCTTCTGCTCTTCGAGAACCCGTGAAGACGAATGAAGTGTACGAAGGCTTCGCCATTTGGCAGAGAAGTTATTCTTGCACATAAGCGCTAAAATCTAAGGCTTGTCCGTATAGATGCCAGCAAAGATGCATCTTGGTAATCGCCAGCGGTGCATGTCGTAACGTGACAACATTCAAAACATCCGAATCGGACATTACTATCCATTGCCGATGTCTAGAGTCATATTCCAAGCTTCAACGTAAGTTTGGACAGGAAGTAGCTATATACGACCGATTGTGGAACAAGCACCTACGTTAATAAGGCAGTGACGGATAAATAGCGCTTGTTGGTCTCTATCCTTGCAATCAAGTCACTTTTCAGTGTACCAGCTACAAGAGCATTGTTCTGTGTGGTTTAAAGAAACATCATGTCAATTATAAGAGTTTCGCGAGCAGGAAGGTGCTTTGGTGACTACTCTCCATAGTTTTTCTTATACAGAAGATAGAGTTGAATGCCTTCTTTCTAGAGAAGTTTGCTTTAAAAATGTAGTGAAGAGCTCAAGTAGCCACAATATACTCTACTAATAATTACATTGTGATTCCTGGCCATTTTTACCCTCTTTGAATGCAGGATGTATACAGACACAAGGACTTACCCGCTAAATAACATGATAGTTAACAGCTCATAGACCAAAGTTGAACCATGCTGCTGCCTTTATTGATAACCTTTCTTACCTGCTATATAAATGTGGCCCCGACCAAATGTACATGTTTTGATACTGCTAGACTTCTTTCAATACTAACCCATGTTAACAAATAGATGCATTTGGTTATATATATACCAGTATAAACAGGTTCTACTACAGTATAGTACCTTCAGGGAAAGTGACCCCGCGTACACTACAGGAAGCGTGCAAACAAATTGATTCGATGAAAAGGAACTGTAGTTAACATAATTGCAATGTCAACTAATACACTAACTTATACTGCATCAATTACTAAAGTTATATAAACTCACCATCTAATCCTTACCTCATCTTATTCGGCGGCTTTGATGGTTGATATCATGGCCTGGTTGATATCGTGGCCTAGTTGATATCGTGGCCTAGTTGATATCGTGGCCGGTCTCATCTGATAAACAAATTCTGGGGTTCCCCCCTGGTGCCTTGATTCAGCACCGGCCTGTGTCGGTAGTGGCGCAGGTTCAAATCCCCCTCGACCAACCCAAGGTCTCAAAACAATGTGGCACACACTTTTCTCACTGGTACCCCCGGGAACCCTGGTACCAGTGAGTACGACCTCTCGTAGAAGAATGAAACCCCAATACAGAATAATTGGGGCTATCCGAACTGGTTGGCACCGAGAACATTCGGTTATATCAACCGCCCGTCCATGGCACGATAGCCATGACCGGTTAAAGGATTAATGAGCCCTGCCGAAGAGGACAAGTATCAGGCCGCTAGAGAAATCTAAATGTGCCAGCTGCCCTATATAACAAAAAGAATCTGATGAACAAAGACAAATTAGTGGTACGTATTTACAACGTGTGGATAAGGTACTTCACTTCATTTGGCAGCTTAGTGGTTTAAACACTTTATCTTTTCCTCTGAAATGACCTGCTGATAATAAAGAAGCTGGTCAAGAATGACACGGGAGATACGTTCTCTAAATCATAGTCGTAACTGCATAACGTCACTCGATGACATTTTTTTTTTTTGTTAGCTTGGCAGTGGTCCATGAGACAGACAAATTTCCCATAGGAAACGTCGGATGTAATACGTAAAACGACACACTGTAAAGATAAGCTCTTCAACTTAAGTGAGTTACGAGGTATCGGTCGTAAGGTACTTATATGAGGCGGATTTGCGTATTTAAAGGGTGTGCAGAGGCAATTTCAACGGTGATATCTGTGGTGGTGGGGTGCCGGGCCAACTTGGGGTGCTAGGTCCACCTGGGCGTCAGGACTACCTTGGGTCCTGGTCACCCTTGGGTCCCGGCCTACCTTGGATCCTGGTCCACTTCGGGATCCCGGTCCACCTTGGGTCCTGGTCCACTTTGGGTCCTGTTCACTCCCTGTCATTCATTCGCGAGAGTTACTGAGACCCTTCACGCCAATTATTATAATATTTGCGAAGGGCCTTCATTTCCCTGGCGCTTTTACACATCTGCTCTTTGCGCGCTGGTCTTCCAAACTGCGGCAAGACCCCGTGCATCCCTTCAACGCAGAAGTAGGTGTCCATGAGTTTGCTGGTCATCTGTAACCAACTCACCCAACTTTTATACGCTAGTGACCTCTTCCGATTCCTTCTCCAACGAGTACCCAGCACCTGGCCGTTGGTCTACCCCCGCGCTGCCTGGACCCGACCCTGGCTTGGTCATTTCGATTGTAGACCTCTTCGGAAAGCCTCCTGATTATCCTAGTGTCGCTCAGACGTGGGGCGTTATTCAACTGGCAATATAACGGTCACAAGCCGTGGAGACCCTCGCTGAAGATCACAGAGTCCTCCAACAGGCCTGTCTGGCTGAGCATCGTCGGGCCCAAGACCTGCAGTGCCGCGTGGATGAAGTCATTCGATTCGAGGAAGTCGATCTTCGCCAGATCGAGGCTTGGATCAGGAACTCGTCTACAACCACAAATTTGATCAGCTGACCATCGCGAAATACCGAGATGCACCCGCAAACCGGAAATACTACTGTCTTGAGGTTGAGGCATCTCGGTATAACATACGTTTCTGAAAAGGCCAGTATGAAGATGATGTGACGGATTTCACGGTTCAGAGTGAAAGACTGGAGGCCAAGTTTGACACTGTCGCGGCCGACGTTAGGGCCAAGGCATCTACAGTATCGCGACTCCAGGACGAGCTGGCCCGTTCAAAGGCTCTCGTGCAACACGTCACTCGCCAACTGGACCATCTCCAGAAGCAGCTGGCAGTGGCTCGAAGAGCCGCAGCTAAACCTTACCCGCCTATGTTCAAAAATATATGACCCTCAAGGGCTTAAAGACCTCGTTCACCCGTCGCTAGCGTTCCAGCACATTCCGCATCGAAGAAACGCCGGATTACATGTGTTTCTAGCTCCACTGAAGGCAAGTCCTGTAGCAGCGTTGATTCACTTCTAGCCGCGATAGCACCGTCGCGTGCCTACCGTCGCCGTTCTAGTCCGGCGGCTTCTGCAAGTGAAGCTGATCCGGATACAATAGACCTATTCATTAAATCCAAATTTGGCCCTTTTCAAATGTCGGCGGAGGCTACTATGAAAATCAAATCCATTCCTTCTCTCAAATCGGTGGGCTCTACCGGGAAATTTAAATTCAGTCCTTCCCCCACATCGGCGGCGTCCACTGAAAAACCCAAGTCTAGTCTTACTCGAAAATCGGAGGGGTTTACTGGGAAAACAAGTCTGGCCCGAGCTCCATAGCCCAAGCATCACCTACCGCTCCTTTCAGCAGGGAGAATACACGTATTCCGATCCATCATTCCAGCTCTTTGGCCACTCCGCGTTCGATATTGAAAGTCTCGACTCCGATGATCAGGGGGCACCAGCACACAAGGGCCCTGCTAGTTCCAACGATCGGGGCCCATCAATTTCTGGATATGCACAGCCAAGTGTATCAAAAGCCGAAGACGTTGCCCCATGTCCGGTTTCCATGATGGTTTCCTTTAAAATCACGCGATAAGCGTAAAGGACTTATGGTCCAACGTGAACCTTCCGTACTCGTGGATGGGCCCGGGCCCCTCTATGGACAAAGCATTCATTGACCACCTAGATGAGAGTGATGTTCTCTTAATGGAACCTCAGCTTCAGCTGATAATGAACTTGCGTTTATGGAAGCAGCGGACGGTGTCTGAATATCCTCTCTTCTTCGCGGTGAATGGCTGGCTTGTTGACCTGGTGGCGATCCAAGATGCCTGCGTAGACGCATTACGACAAAGTCTGTGGGAGGACCGGCACCATCTTCCTTTTTCTGTGGCTCTTCGCGCCAGCAGCACGTAAATCACTCG